ACACACACACACACACACACACACACACACACAATTAATACACTAGATGCTAGAGTACATTATGCATAGTTTAAATATTTTGTTTATAGTAGCATGAAATTTGGGGTGCAATGTTATATTAAAAAGAAAGTTCTCCCAAAAATGTAAATTCTATTTACTTATTATCATTGTATGATGTTCTGCGTAACACAAAAGAAGATATTTTGAAAAATGGCAGTAAGCAAAACAGGAACAAAAAACACGGACATTTCACAAAATATCAACAGAAGAAAGGAAGTCATAAAGGTTTGGAACAACATGAAGACGATGAAATTAGAATTTTTTCCCCTGATCTGTCCCTTTAAAGCTAATTAATAGGATATTTTAATCTATTGAAAATTTCTCTTCATCCTTCTCGTTTAAATGAGTCTCTTTCCATTGTAATTTTACTGCTTTAAGTCCATGTTTAGTGTCATGCTTATATAGTTTATTTTTACTCCGTTTTATCTTTCTCACATTTCAGTTGCTCTGGAGTTATGTAAGAAGACCAGTTCTGAGCCAGCGTGTGTGATGCTGCTGGACTTTGTGCAGCACATTATTAAATCCTCTTCTTTAATGTTCGTAAACCCAGCGTGTCTTTCAGATCACTTCAAAAACTCGGAGAACAGCTGCTCTGGTAAGTTCATTTGGTTTACGTTAGCTACTAAAGTTCTGCTCGAATACATCCAGCTTAGATTGTCTGCCTCCATTCTCCCTTCACAGATTTCAGTAAATGGATCATCAACCGCTTCTTGCGAATTGCTGCTTGCCCAGAATGTGAAGATCTTCACATAAAGATTTCATCAGTCATCTGCTCCTTGCTTCATCTTTTCAGAGCCAAGGGCTCAGTCCTTTTTGGCCTTTTTTCCACAGAGCTAATATGTTTAATGCAAGATCTAGTGCATATGAATCTCATGGTCAGACCATCACCACAGTGGCCAGTGGTGGTGGAACGTTTCTCCGTCAGGTCTGGGGATTCTGCCGTTTACCTGACCCCCACCATCCTTAATCTGTCCTCATATGCCTCAGCTCAGGCGTTGTTAGTAACTTCATTAACAGTGCTGACAGATATTTTGCAAGGCCTTTTCTTCCCAAGGGAAGTGGCCATCATATGGGACTGTACTTGCCTTATGCTGTCTCATGGGAGCCCAAAACTCAAGGCAGCATCCATGGTTCTTTTAACTCGCATTGTGACTCTGGGAGGTTTCCCTGAAGACCATTCACAGCCATTTTTCTCTGCTTATTTGCATCTCCTGGACTCCTTGCCTACTTTTGAGGAGTCAGAGCTCAGTGTCTTTGGCAAGGAATTCCAGAAGCTCTCCCAATGTGTTTTCCAGCCCGAGGAAGGCACTCACTGCAGGTTTGAGAGAGTTCATGTGAATATGCTGATGGAAAGGCTTGAGAAACTGGTGGTTGGTGGGGCACTAGAGCAGTTGAAGATAATGGAGGTGAAAGCAACACTTTGTGAAGTCTTCTGCTTTGTCCTTGAGTTTGTTCCTCTCGGATATGAGTGTGCGGTGCAGATCCGGAAGGAGAGAGTCGCAGCCATTTGCAAATCTCTGATTAAGACCATTGGAACACAGGGCCTGCAGGAGGTAAAGGATTAAAGGAAAAGTTTATCTAAAAACAATTCTGACTAAAGTTTTTCCCTCTTCTTTTAAGTCTAGTAAATGGTCTAAGCTGCTCTTTTCAATAAAATGAAAATCAATGATGTTTCTTTGCACTGTATTCAAAGTGTTAAGTCATACAATATATTGGGGGAAAGTCTGATATTTAAAGGGATAGTTCACCCAAAAAGGAAAATTCTGTAATCAATTACTCACCCTCATGTTGTTCCAAACCCATAATACTTTGGTAAATATAAAATTTGGTACGGTAATCACAGATACACAACCGTTCTTGCTTGAGGCATGAGAACACTCCTAATGGGATCTTGTGCGTCAAGCAAGGAAGCTTGAGCTTCCGTTTACCATATTTGATGAGCTCTATGTATGTGTGTTGATCAAAAGAAGACTTGGATCAAACTATTGATTCATATGGTTTTTCTTGTGCAATCTCTTCATGATCTTTTTCATAGTTTTGGTCAGCTGGACTTTCTTTTGGGAAATCTCTCAGAAAATTCAATTAAGGGACAGAAATGCTTATTTGTGTTTTGAAGATGAACAAAGATTTAAGGGTTTGGGTTATGGGGTTGGACTGCAATGAGGGTGAGTAAATGATGACAGAATTTTCATTTTTACGTGAACTATCCCTTTAAATCATTATTTGCTGACAGTCTTGCCATACATTAACTCTCAGTTGTAAAGTGGCGATGTATTGTAGAAAGTAACATATTTTCTGTTTTATGAAAACTAGCAAAGCGTGGAAGGCTACCTGTACGCTGCCCTCATGACAGAAGCTATTGCTGCAGTGCAGGATATGCAGGCTGGTGTTTCTGACCCTGCTGATCCTAGTATGTATGAAGAGGAGATTCCAGCCAAACGCCCAAACCTCTCTCTTCCAACCCAGCTAAGGAGTGGGGAAAAAACTCAGCCAATGTATGCAATTCTCTGTCCCCACTCTCCAAATAGACATTCCTTCAGTCTTGCATCTTACCATGTGTATTCATCTTGTCCTGAATCAGGCAGGTGGACATGAAGCGCAGAAGTGAGGTGTGGGCAGCTGTAGAGAGCCGACTGGATGAGTTACTGACCCAGATGAGGGACCACACAGTGAGCACCGTGCAGGGACTGGCGCTCATCTTCCATCTGGCTGCACTTTGCTCAAAGCACTGTCTAAGTGGATCACAGAGGTACGGCTTTATTTAAGACTTTTGTTGTGTTGCACGGTTATTTGTTCTCATTCTTAAATACATCTTCAGTGGCAGAGGAGAGATGACATCAGAGGCTTCAGATGAGGCTCAGCTCATTTGGTTAAAGCCTCGGGTTTTGGCTCAGGTAGTCGAGAGCTGCCACTCTGTGATGGCAAACACCTCTAATGAGGAAGAGCTGGAGCCTCTGGTGGAGGGTACCATCAGGATACTTGATGCTGTCCTCTACCTTAACAGTGAGTGTATTTTTTTGCAAGATCCTTATTAATATCTATGTAAGGATAAAGGCCCATTTTATATAAATGCATCCTGGTTATTTTTTCAGGATGCACTAATATAAAAATTTTGGCCAAAACCGAAAAGCTGATAATTATTTTCAAGTTATAGCCAATAACCCTTAAATGGCCGATATGAAACAGTTTTTCTTATAATAATAAATCACAAAAAACGAAACTTTTATATCACAGGTGAATTTAGGCACCACAACTTTATAATACACATAAATGGATATTTATTTTGAGATTTGCTAAAGGTTATATTTAACTTTATTTTTGCTGATTTGTTGAGATATTGCAGAATTTTTCTGAATTTTCACTCATGAGCAGCCCGTAGATGTATTTAACGGCATGATATCAGTTCATTTGAATTAATTTGATTTGTGTTGTATGTTTACAGCTAATAGTCAGGGTGACACAGGTTTTTACAGGAATATTTGTGCTCTGCTCTCAATCCCATGGGTGCTTGAGCATTCTTCACAAGCGGTTTATCAGATGGCCTCTTTTCCTGCAAGTCTGATTGCACTCTCCCAGAAACTTGCTCCTGTCTACTGTAAGTATCTTATAGTGTCTCATAATGTTAATGGATAACTGTTTATTTCAGTGTTGTTCCTCAATAAGTTTAATTTATTTTACAGTTCACTTACAGTACATTTCAATGTTTGTTGTTTTGTGCGTTTTCTTGTAGCTGCACAAACTCGAGCGCACTGTGTGTTTCTACTTGCCCTGCTGTCGAAGAGTGTGTGCGGTGACTGGCGGTCGTCGGTTTACCGCTGGGCCCTGCAAAGTAACAGTGAATCTGAGCGGGCCAGTGCTGTCAGAGGCTTCCCCCTTCTGCTGCACAATCTAGGAGTCAAATCCTATAGCCTCATCCACGAGGTCCTTCTGTACGTCATCCAACAGTCACACACTCTGAGA